GACAGGGTCTTTCCCATTTGAGGGCATTAGCATCCTACAAGAATAAGGGGAGCCCTTTTTTAATTCAGCAAGATCAATTTCGTTCTCGTCGAAACCTAGGTAATCAACATATGGCCTTTCGTTTTCTTCGTTAAAATAGACAAAGGCCACCCTTTTATTTTTATTAGCCCTAACTTTTTCTTCTTTTAAGCGTTCTAATTGTCGAACTCTATCGGCTAATTGGGCCATATCCCTTAAATATTGGGTATCCAACTTCTTTTGAATTGAATAGTCAAGGCCACCAGCGGCCATTTCGACCAACTCATGTTCTGGAACTTGTGTAAAACACCTGGCTTTGAGAAGTCGAAACCAGTTCAAATATTCCTCGATAGGCTCAATAAACTTTCATGTTATACTAGCCATTTCTTTTAAACTTATTTTCGTATGTCCCATGTAAACTTGTTCATGGAATAGATGCTCTAAATGGGTCCAGTCATGGATCAAGTTGAGAGGTAATGTGGTGAACCAAGTGAAAGCATTTTGGTCAAAGAATTGGGGAAATATTTTACCCTAAGACTCTCATCATTAGCAATTTGCCATGCCTCAATCAGATATATGGCCACGTGTTCGACAGTAGACTCAGTAGAGTCTCCTGAGAACTTAGAGAATTTAGGGACCTTAGTCCTCGGAGGTAACTCCAACTGGAGTATATACTCAACCAAAGGCGACGTATATTTTGGCCTTCGCAAGCCAAGATTTACTCCATTTCACACCATAATCCTTTCGACCATGGCAGCCAAGTTGTTATCTGCGGCTGCATTATTACGCTGGACTTATTGTACGATATTATCCGCATTTTAGTTTCTGTTAACCATCACTACCCTTGAAGGTTCCTCTCTGGGAACTTGAAACTGATTTCTAGGAGGTTCGACTATCCCATGATTAACATTATTTTCCTGCGGCACGTTCCCTGGGTGTTGTTGGGCTTGGTTAATAGTGAGGTCCTCTTCGAAGGCTAAACCCTGGTTTTCTCTCACATGTTCCCTTTTTGGGTGTCGAGGAGGATTTGGTACCCCAAAAGAAATCAACTAAACGCGTCATTTGCGCTGCCAGTTGTTGGTTAGTTTGGATAGTGTTTTGAATAAGGGGCTGAAATATTTCTCCCATAGTTTGGGACATCATTTGTACCATCTGGTGGTTACTTTCATATATTTGTTGCTTCAAATAAAAGGCAGAACCAATTGTTAGGTTCTGTGTTGGGACATAGTATCCTGCATTTTGGTTGTTTCAACCCACATTCATTCTAGATGCTAACCCTTGTAATGGTGAAGTTATCACCTATTCTGCGTGTACAGGAGGGGCGTTATGGAGGCTTGCCGTTACTGATGTTAGCATACCGTATGGTGGGTCTCGCGGCAAAGGCATCGAAAACCCTGGTGGGAGAATATTTCTATACGTGGAAGTTCCTACTGGAGGTGGGGTATATGGAGAGCCCCTTGGCCCAATGTAAGTTAAAATTGGTTGTGTATGAGTAATCGAATGTGTAGGCATCGAAGTCCCTATATTCGGAATCGCTTCAGAAATAGGAAAAGAACCTGCTTGCCCTTCTGTCGAAGGTGGCACGGGAGGCTCCGCCTTATCGTTACCATTGTATGGATCCTGAGGAGTGTTTGGCTGATTTGTATTCGACGCCACTCTCCTGGTATATCCTTTCTTAGTTCGAGTTTCGTTATTAGTGGTTATCTTACCACTTCTTAACTGCATACAATGAAAACTTTACGCAGAGCTCTCTCTCTCTCTCTCTCTCTCTCTCTCTCTCTATATATATATATATATATATATATATATATATATATATATATATATATATATATATATATATATATATATATATATATATATATATATATATATATATATATATATATATATATATATATATATAAAACAAGAAACTCTGATTAGCACCGTCCCACTGGGCATGCCAATTTGTTCCCTGTAAAATTTGGAGAACAACCGCTAGTCTAACAAATCTTAAAGACACATTTTAACTTGCAGGATCGACCACACTAAATCCTAGAACATAGCTAATCCGAGTTTGAAATCCAATAAAACCTAAAAGAAAGGTATAGATACTTCGATAGTATTGAAAACAAAAAGGATTTGGCAATAAAGCAAGTAGAAAATGAAAGCAATTTGGGGCGAAGAAGATAGCAACTCGAAGTAAAAGATAAATACCAGAAAATATAACTTGCATAAAAGCAGTAAAGTAAAGGAAAATTCTTATGAAAGAAAAGAAGAACTTTAATGCATTACAATAAAAGATGGTGTTTCGACACGTACATTCTCAGTTATAACTCTTTTCTCACTTTGACTTGGATACTTTGAGTACTTTTCTGAGTGACTTGTACAAAAATGAACACACCAAAAATCCTAAAATGAGCCACTATTTATAACCAGTCGAAATAACCGCTCCTAATGACTCAATGGACTAGATTAAAACAAATTTCACTCTGCATGCTTTGATTACTTGGAACAGTGCCACGTGCCTCCCTCTATTGGCGGAAAATAACTGCATTTCCCTCCAGAATTCAAATTCAAACTTCAAAGGTTATTGCCTGTCGAATCATTCGTTTTCTGGTCGAAATCCTCGAAGCCTAACCATAGTCGAAAACACTGTCTTAACTCAAAAACCTAACATTTCCACTTGGCCGCCGAAATTCAAGACTAACAGTGTTAAAAATTACTTTAATCTTTTACAATTTAGTTGATCACTATAGGATGCAAAGCGTCAGATCAACAAAACTTTCACACTTTCACAACTTCAGGCCTTCAAGTTCCCTTGACGAATACAACCATTACTTAAAGTTTCAATTATAACTTAAATCATTCGACTAATGTGACTTAAGATATCTTCTTGATCAAGTTCCATCTTCAGATCTTTTTGTTTGACATTTGAAATTAACTTCCCCTATCATAGAGAACTCTTAACACTCAAAAGTAAAAGGAGATGAAGAGATTTGATATGTCGAGAGGACAAACTTGATATGCTAAAGATGAACGAAATAAAAGATTTGAGAGGAAGATAAATTTTAGGGGTTTGTTGATTCAATTGTACCAGAGAGATGATTTAGGGATTTTGAAAGATATGTGAAGAAACAAAAATTAAAATTGTTTATGCGGGGAATACGATGACAGTCGGTGAATGATCACGTCGTAGTATTTGAAGTGGTAAACTACTATTTTCCATTATTCATAAAAAAAAGTGACCGTTGGCCCATAAGCACCTAAAATTCGTCGCAATACATAGGCAGAGGAGGTTTGGGTAACCATCGTGGACTTTGGAGTGAAAAGGATCCAAATTTCCTTTAAAAACTTTAAGTCAGTTGCTTATAATCATTGTGGCAATAAAGACACTTTTTACTCAAGTATTACAATGTAAGTGTCGTAAAATGGATAATTTTTTGTAGTATGTGTTGCTTCATCAGGTGTCATCATCAAAACCAACTGATGATCAAACCTGTAAGCACATAAACCCATAAATTTACCACTTAAATCACAACGTAAGTACTTTATAATAACGTCATATTGAGTTTTAACCATTGCATGACACATATGATAAATTTCAACAAATTTTGAATGCTTTTTCATCAAGTAAATGCAACAATAATGAGTATCGTTATTGATAAATGAAACAATAATGAGTATCGTTATTGATAAATGAAACATAATATCTAGTTTCATCTTTAATATGAATCAATAATGAACCTCATATATTAGAGTGAACTAAGTTCAAGGATGTATATGAAGCATAAACACTTTTATTAAAAGGTAAAGTTGAAAATTTATCAAACTTACCAAAACGAGAATCTCAGATATAATCGGTGGTTTGTGACATTCCTAAACTCAAATAGAAGTTTAGTATTTTAATCTAGAAGCATTTACGTGTCTTATACGAGAATTTCATAAATAAAAATTGGAAGACGAAGAATTGAAACAAAAAGAAACTAAAAAATCACTTGTGAAGATAGAATTTTTACCAAAATTACAAGCATGCATCCAAGCACGTATCACAAAATCGAATCCACCAAATAAATAATACAAAATATTTGGCTAACATTTCATAAACTTGTCCACAAATTCGAATCCAACAAATAAATAATACAAAATATTTGGCTAATATTTCATAAACTTTTTCAAAATCAACTTTAGAGATTGGACAATTTTTAATTTTTTTTTTGTCTAAATTGACAAGTTCATTGACTGCTACAACTTCTTGACTAAAATTCGTACTTTAAGCAAATGTGAAGTAATTTCATATTTTCTAATGCTAATCGTAAATCGAGGAATTGATTACTCAAATTATCTTGAACGTTTTTTCTAAAACTATGGGAAAATGTGTTAATTGTCTGCAGTGTGAATAGTGTGTTGCTCATATTCAGGTTTTGTCTTGAATGCTCAACAATTGTATTCAGGTTTTGTCTTGAATGCTCAACAATTGTTAGTCTTATTTATTATTCAACTTTTATATATATATATATATATATATATATATATATATATATATATATATATATATATATATATAAAGGAATAGTTTCATTTATATTTATTTAATTAATAAAAAATAGGAACGCAATTTATTGTTGGTTTATCCTTTATTTCTATATAAATATATCTAAATTAATCCAATAACTAAGTATCATTAGTCATAAGTTTTGATTCCCACCTTGATATTCACGATTGATTAAATGATTTTAATTGATTTTGTTAAAAAAAACATACAATTGATTCACGAACTAAACTAACTGCGTGTAAAATAGTCGTTAATAATAATTTCTCCATTTTCCAATTTTTTGAAAATGATTTATTTTGTTCTTCTTAAATCACTTCAAAGTTTATCATTATTCAACCAAATTTCAAAATGGACCAAATAAATAAAATCTAAAATCTGAGACCCAAAATATAAAACCTCATAAATTAAGATGTGAGGTTATTATTAATTTAACTCCTTAATTTTTTTAGCATTCGGGGATAAAACCATCTTTGCTTACAAAAGGAAAGTTATTCTCAGCCTCATTTAATCCACAAACTATACAACATGAGCATGTGTGTGTATTACCAGTAGTGTCACATCTGCAACGACGAGCCTGTGCACCCTTATACCTTGCATTGAATTCATCATTGCAGTCACGTTGAGCATGCAGACAGTCACCACTCAATCCTTTAAGAAGTCTAGGGCAAAACATGATATTAGGTTCTTCTTCACCTACATCTAGCAAAAAATAATCTCATCAAACGTCTAATATATATTTTTATCTATAGACAAAGGAGTTACAACATCGAGAAATTCACACATTCAACTGTGAGAATCAGAATTCAAACTCTGATATTAATATCCGATCTAATAATATTAACTTTTATCAGTTGGATTAAGATTGCCAGATAATCTATTATTTTATTATTACCTGATCCAAAGGTGAGATTGAAGAGAGTAAACAAAGCAACCAAAAGTATGAGAATGCTTCCTAGCTTCATGATGATATTAACAAACACAATATTTTCAAATAGAGCTTTGGAAATGTTAAGACAATATGTCAAATAAGAAGGATGGAACACATATTTATGCATTAGTAAAAGGTCACTAAAATTTTTTGTAATAAATATTAAGGACAAAATATAATATTTTCAATACTGGTGAACATTAATTATTAGGTAGTTACGTATCAAGAAAGTTATTCAGTCTCTCATTGTGTTACTTTATTAAATAATTTATACTAATTTTGTTTCTTGTGAATGAATTTAAGAAGACAAAATTAATTAGTACAAAATTAATACTTTTATCAAATTTATTTATTTATTCCTAGGATTTTTATCAAGAGATCATTTAGAGGTCAATGTAGTAAAGACTTTCCCTTTTCCATTTATCAAAAGTAGTTAGAATAAAAATTAGTTTAAATTAGTTTTATTTAACTTATTCATTAAAAATAAATGTTTTCAAAGTTTGATGATAAATATTAAGGATACAATATATTATAACTTATGATAAATAAAGTAAAAAAAGATTTATTTTTTAATTTATCTAAAAATTAAGTTATATACTTTTTTTATAAACAAATTAAGAATTTAAAAGGAGTACTAGGGGTGATGGAATCCAAGAGAGCAAGGTACAAACGCAAACAACACAAATAAAAATAGCTCCTACATAAAGTCCTGAGGGAATTTATACCACTCAGAGAGAATATAATGATAAGACTCTTTATGACTTAACACTAATCACGACCACGAAATAGCAATAATTCTATCCACTACAACCTCCGGATTATCAACGACGTCTTCAAAAATTATTTGGTTATGCATCCTCCAAATACACCAAACAGACGCATGCCAAATTATAAAAATAGAGGTTTTAGGGCATTTCCCCTTCAACAATGTCTCCCACTCCCTCAAATGGACTCTAACATTATCAGCCACCAAGTGAGATATGAAAACTTAAGTAGAAGGTTGTGGTTCCATGCAGAACAAAAGAAAAAAAAGTGAAAGAATCCTTGTGGTGGAGAGATCTTATGAAGATATGAGGTAATTTCGAGGAATGAGGGTTGTTGTAGTTAGAAAGTTTTATATTAGGTAATGGTGAAAAAATTTCTTTCTAGACGGCTAAGTGTGTGAGCCCAATACCATTGGAAAATAAATTTCTAAGCCTATATCGAGCATGTTCGAACAAGGTAATCAGTGTGAGGAGTATGGGTGGAATGTATCAGAGGAAGGTTCATAGATTTCTACAGACAAAGAAAAGTTGCAGGAAGTGCTAACATGAATTAATCCAAATAAGTACCAAGGTGATATGGTGGTTTGGCCCTATGATTCTCTGTTAAGTCTTGCTATGCAAAAATCATGCATGTAAACAAAGTCGTAGTTCTAGACTCCTGGACAAAACAGGCTCTAGAGGTGGCTTTAAAGACAAAAGTTCCTTTTAAAATAAATATTTTTGGATTGAGACTTCTTCAAGACAGATTACTTACAAGATGATAACTTTTTAAAAGAGGAATCCTTCAAGCAAAAAGAAGACATTGATCATGTAATGATCCATTGCTCTATGGTGAGAAAGGTGTGGGAGAACATCCAATCATGGTTAGGTATAACTATATCAATGGAGGAGGATTGTAGTAGTCACTTCATGAAGGTAGTTTTGAAAATGAAATTGTATAGCACAAACAAAAGAGATGGGGCATATGGTTGGACGCTTGTTGGTGCGTGTGGAGGGCTAGAAATGAAGTAATTTTTAATGATGCAGTTGGTTATGCATAAGAAATTGTTTTTCAAGTTAAGATGTTCACACGAAGATGGCTTGTTATAGGTTCAAAAGGAATGGTGAATTGTAATTTTTATGAGTGGTATAAAAAATTTCTTGATTTTCTCAAACACTGACTATTGATTGCAATTTTCTTTGTAATCGGATTAGAGTACCCCTAGTACCCTCCCTTGAACACATAGTTGTTTATAAAAAAAAGGTTCAACTTTTTTCTATAAATGCTAAATAATTATTGGTCTTATTTATTATTCAAATTTAAAATATATATAAGTATGCGAATATTGATCTTATGTAAAGTAATAGTCTCATTTTTATTTACATAATAAAAAAGGCAGTGGTGCAATTTATTGCCCGTTTATCTTTTATTTATGTATAAATGTCATGTTATGAATTAGATGCCTTGAAACAAAATATAAAACGGTTTCTTTATGATCAAGAAACACACAAGGATTTGGGTTAACAAAGAAAACAAGGTAAAACAACAAGGAACAACAAGGATTGGTTATAAATTGCTATTCTTTCCTTTCTCTTAGAACAAGATTACAAGTATACAAGAATAACAAATAACCTCTCTCGCTTGAATTAGGATTTTATCTTTCTATTTTTCCTTTATACAAGATGAGAGACTAGCATGCTATTTATAAGAGAACTAACACACTAACCTAATGGCCTTTTTAATAATTATCCATTACAAGCTAACTTAGGATACAAGCTAACTTAAATAATTGAGCTTACAAGCAATGCCCAATTCAATACGCTAACAACCCTAACAATATTGACTAATGCATGTGAGAACAAACTTCGACTATAACACGCATTAATCCGACAGTAGCTTGTGAACAGATTGCGACCTCATGCTTAATTACTGTCGAACCAGAAGCTACCCTTTGACCATACTAGAGTTTGATCCAATATCCCACAAATCTCCGCCTTGGATCTAACCCTATAATATCAAGAAACTAGCTTTCTTCGTGCAGATTTATCAACTGCATACAATGCAAAAACTTACAACTAGACAACGTCTTGGTGGTCATATTAGCAGTATTATGATCTGTCGAAACCTTCAGATCTTGGACATCTCCATGCTCAACTACCCCTCTGACGAAATGAATCCTCACATCAATGTGCTTGGTTCTCTCATGATAGGCTGAATTCTTCGACAGGTGTATTGCACTTTGACTATCACATTTAACAGTGATAACTCAACCTTGAAGTTTCAGCTCCTTTGCAAAACCTTCAAGTCACAATGCTTCCTTCACAGTTTTAGTTAGGGCGATATATTTCGCTTCAGTGGTTGATAAGGCAACAACCTTCTGAAGTGTTACTTTTCAACTGATTGTTGTCCCAAATATAGTGAACACATATCTAAAAATAGACTTTTTGGAATTCATACAACATGCATAATCAGATTCGACATATCCTTCGATTGCTGCTTTACTATCTTCACCCAATGATCCACCACAAATTAGGACTCTATTTAGAGACCCATTTATGTATCTTAGAATCCACTTCAATGCTTTCCAGTGAGCCTTTCCAGGATTCATCATGTACCTGCTTACAAGACTTACTGCATATGCTATGTCGGGTCTAGTACAAACCATAACATACATCAAAGAACCCACTATATTAGCATATGAAATGCTATTCATATAAGTTCTTTCGACATCAGTGCTGAGACACTGATCTATACTCAGCTTGAATTGAGGGTTTGTCGGAGTCACAACAGGCTTTGAATTCGACATACCATACTTTTCGAGAATCTTGCGTAGGTATGCCTATTGAGATAAGCATAATCTGGACTACTTTCTATCTCTTCGAATGTTAATCCTAAGAATCCTAGACGCAGCTCCCAGATTCTTCATTTCGAACTCCTTATTGAGTTCATCCTTCACCCTCATTACATCTTCGACATTGTTGCTTTCTATTAGAATATCATCCATATAAAGCAACAAAATAACAAATGAATGTGTGCCATGAAGTAAACACAATGGCACACAAAATCATTTTTTGTCAAGGTTATAGATCTATTCCTTGCCCCTGGGTGAAAATATGGTTCGAGGTTGACGTATGGTAGACTCATTACTACCCTCAACTGTGGCTAGCTTCCAAGAGAGGGTGAAGCCAGTTTTTTCCACTTTGTGGCCTACTATCTTTGCGTATGTGCATTGGCATCATGCGGCTTTGATTGATTTAATCATTCGTTTATGCCATTTGTGAAAACACCCCATAGTCTTTATGATGGGACCTTGATCTCTTCGGTCGTACCCCAGACTCAATGTTACCTTTCATAGTCATAATAAGAAGAGATAATTTAGTTGAACTTTGTTTATTCTATAATCAAACAACATGGTACATTATAATAATACATCATTTAATTTAGAAAATAATTGAATTAAGATAACCAAAAGGCATAATCACTACTCATTGGCCAGTGGGAGGTGGTGGCTGGATTTGACTTCACTTGGATCAGTTGATTTCGCTCATCCGACCGAGGTGATATGCTTTACTTGTAGGAGGCCGGATAACTATGTCTGGCAACTTCCTAACCAGGTGATAAGTTCCAAAATTAAGTAATCAAAAGAAAAACTCCAAATTTCTCAATGAAAATTTATAAAACACTTGTTTGGAAATTTTACTTGCACATTAAATAAAAACAGGTAAAAAGAAAAAGGATTACATGAATAATCCGAGCTAATCTATCTGTAAAAAAAAATTGTTATAATTTTAAACTTAAAATTCACTAAAGTAATTGGTCTGAATTGATAAATACTCCCAGTCTCCTTGATTTTAAAGATTAGAACAACAATATAAGAATTATTTTAAGTGATCCAACCATCAGTGAAGAACTACAATGTGGCCTAAATGACATCATCTTTGACAATATTCCAAAAAAGTGTGATAGAAAATGGAACCAAGTCCATCTGGGCCAACAACACCATCTCTTTTCAAGTAAAAGACAACATTATAAATTTCTTTTTTAGAAGGCAGTATTATCATAATCTTGTTGGTCTGTTCAGAAACAAGATTAGGAATAACCTCCTCCACCAAAGAGTTATCCTTCAAAATTGTTAATTCTGACCAGCCCACGATGGATGTTCTAACAGAAGTTATAACATCCACTGTGACATTCACTACAGACCTACTATTATGCAGTAACAACAAAGCAGTAAATAACACAGTTAGTTATTGACCCAGTTCAGTGCAACACACTTACATCTGGGGGCTA